GAATTTGGGCTGCTAATTGCGTCATCATACCGCGGTCTCAAATCCATGATTACATGTTGCCATTACAAGAGCCGCCAAATGGCTCGTCCTCGAAACTGACCAATTAACGGTCGATGACCGTAACAACAAAGCGTCAGACCACCGAAAGCAACAAGGCTGGTTTGAGAGGCGGCGGCGCTTAATTACCTTAATCATCTTCACGTACAGTGTGATCGGCGACTGGACAGCGGCGACAGGATTACCGGACACTGAATTGCTCCGATCGCCCCTTGAAGATGACGTCATTAAGACTGCTGAGGATGTGAGGCATTGAGCTTGCCCGAACTGCACCGTTATCCCAACATATGTTCGTCTCAGCATGTCCCCCGGTTTAGTGGTGTATGCCCCGCGAGCGCCCTGCGCTATTGTTTGCTCGTCGTAATTGAACAAAATCCGAGAAGATAAACTCTGACGTAATTGGCTTTAGAGGTGGAACGGCAGAGAGCCGTATGACGCGGACAATGCATTACGTGACATCAGTCAACCTGCTGACCGACCGACTCGTTTCGTCGTGTAATTAGCCACGATGAGACCACGTTGTAAATCAAGCGCCCTAAATACACATCTGCTGGTTTTTTTCCAGGGGACAGCGCTCCCATGCTTCTAGCCAACACTGACCCTTTTGCGAGGTCAGAATGTGTTGCCACGAAGAATTTCGGATTTGTCGTTTAATTACACTTTAAGACGGTGGCGGTTGACGTTGCCGTTGAAGTATTAATGAATGTTGCCATGCAGCCTGTTTGATTACAAAGAATTCCTAGCCTTCCAAGGTGGAATCGGTTCCCACGGTGGCTGCTGAAGGATCAGCTTGCACGTGTGTCACCTGTCAGGATGAGTCTGGACGAAACGACTGAAAAAATAAAAGCTGTAAGCATTTTGCTCCAGGGAACTGGTCGCCGAACGTAGTGTTTACGTTTACATTCTATCAACGAACGCAGGCTTCTGCATGTGGACTGTTTCTCCAGTCAGGAATCACGGTTCCAACTGTTAGAACACCAGAGCAAACTGTCTGTGAGTATGTGAGCTTCGTGATGCGCGTATACGTGTTTCGCCAAGATCTATACCTCGTTGCTATATCAGTGCATCGATATGAGAGCAGTCGAGATCATAAGGCGAAAGCTGGAAGTTATCAGAGGCTTAGTCGAAAAGTATGACGAGCAAAACGAGGAAAAATCAGCGAAAGAGAAGTCTGGCATAGAATAGTTTAAGTAGTTTAATTAGTAGGAAAAGCAGTTTAACTTAGCATTAGGGGAAGAAAGAAATGATAGAGAAGAAGACAAGGCTAAGGTGGAATAAGAGACCGTAGAAGAAGGAAGAAGTGAACGAAAAAGAGGAAGGAACAAGCATGGGTGAAGGAAGAGAAAAAGCAAAGAGTGATAGCGAACAAAGAAAACTAAAGGAGACTGTAGAAGGTTAAAAAAGAAGTGGAAATTGAGGAATGAGTAGTAAAAAGAAGAAGTACAAAAAGAGACGAAAAAGAGGTTTATGAAAGAAGCAAAGCCATACGAGAGAAACTGAAAAGCGGATCATAAACAGAACGAATATGACACAAAGGCGAAAGAATGAAACTTGATAAAACAAAAAAAATGATCAGACATACGAGAAAACGTAAATCAAAGTAATAGAGAATTTGCATTGCTCAGAAAAGAACGGTAGGACAGTGACAAAAATATTTACCGAAGGAATAGAATGAAAAGACTGAAGAAAACACTGGGATTCAAATGAGGCTGAAAAGAAATAAACACAAGAAAGAAATTAATAAGAGGTTAGTTAAGTTAAGCGGTAGCAGAAGACTGAATATCGAATGAAGACAATGTTGAAGAGGGGATGGTCAAAGAAGCCAAAGATGAGGCGGACGAAGAAGAAAGAAGCTAGAAGGCAAGGTAAAAGAAGAAGCAGAAATAGCATTAGAGAATATGGAAGGGATTACATAGAAATGGAAGAGCAGGATGGTGAGTAGAAGAAAATCAATGGAAAGAACTAAATTAAAAACATGTGTAGAGAAAGGATGATCAAGGTAGAGACAAGGAGGATGGGAAGACGGAAGGAAAAAGGTCAGAGATGACATGAGGAAAGGAAAGAAAGAGGAAACAAGAAAGAATAAGTGCAAGAGGATAAAACAATGAAGGAATAAACAGAAATCGAGAAAATTAAAAGGAAGATGAACAGGAGAGGATGAATTAAGACGTATTCAGATGGGTGAGAAAAGGAACACAGATGAAAGAAAAGCTATGGAAAAGGGAAAAAATGAAAGGGAGAGGGAAAATTAACTAAAATGGAGGAAAAATCAATAATTCAAAAGAATTTGCTGTTCACATTAATGGAGAAAGCACGTTAAACAAGGTCTGGATAACGTTCCGGAAGTCACCTTCCAATTTATGTGGCAATATACATAAAATGCTAACAACAAACAAGTTTGGTCGCAATGCAAGAACTAAGGAAGATTGATGAAATGGAACCGATTGGTGGATAGAATGCTGAAGCTGAAGAATGTCTACAAATATATGAGTTAGCGTGAGAGAATTGATCCGAGCAGATTTTCGATATGCCTCACTTCTGGCGTAGATGCCGGCAGAGATCGAAGTACATTTTGAAAGATCCTCTTGCAGAGGAAGGAGAGGATCAGTTGGAATAGATTTGCCCAGCCTTATGATAGATATTACAGTCTTATCAAATCTCCCATGAGGTTTACGATATTGACATGCGACGGCTGACCTAATCTGCGGTAAATTTTCAGTACCGATCGAAATTTATGAATGGAAGGAGGTATACTAGCGAGGCATAAGTGTTTTCAGGTAGTGTGCTACCCCCGGGAAACAATTTTCTCATTCCTTGGGTGGGAATCGTAAGAAAGCTAGACGCTTCAAAAAATAGCCACAATATCGTTCGTTCTTTGATGACAACCTTTTCTGTCTGTGCACTGAAATATAAACATTGCTTAATAGCCTGTTGTATCAGCCTGAGTTCACAAAGGACTTTTTTAGCTGCCTTGATGTCCGCCGCTGTGGAACCTCGCTTTGGTGGTGACTAAAGTGTGGATCTCAGGGATCTTCGATATTTAAAGTCGATTCCCGTTTGCTGTGGAATTAGGCTAGATCTAACAGGGAACACATGCTATTCTGGGTTTTGCTCGGCATGAAAAGCCGAGTCAAACGATTTGTCAACAGCCACATCCGGCTTAGATCCAAAACACTTGTACTAAACAATCGAAAGGTTGGTTTCCCAACTCCTCGCTGCTAGGCTACTGGCAGTGCTTTGCATCGTCATCTGTGCAGGTGCTAATCCTCTCATACATGGAGGTTTTCTCCACTCACTGTCCAGAAACCGGGTGCCGTACTTTGGTGTTTACCAGACGATGGCCGGGACGACGCATGAATGGCCGAAATTTGTAACTGATGAGCTAGTTTAATGGCAGTATTCACAACAGTACATTAAGTCCATGGCTAACGCTTGGATGACAATAACGTAATCCGTGAGGGAGGCAGCTGTTGTAGCAAATGTGTGTTGGCGTAGTTTGGGCTTTGTGCATTCAGCAGGTCTCTTTCTTGACGCAGTCTTTCTGCAGGCCGCCTTTTAACACGTAGCCGTCTTTGCAAAAGCAGCCGGAAAAACAACGCAACGAACAGAACCTATGTCGCCGTTTCCTGACGTCGCTGCACGTCGGTCTGCACAGCGGGCCGCACGATCTGTACTCTTCGTTCTCGCCACAGGTTCTGAGGGTGGTAAGGGAAGTCCTCGATGTCGTCGTCATGGTGAGGCTGAGGTCAGCGGTCGCATCTGCAAACAAACCAGTGGCGTAATGAGAAGACGTTTCGTGAAAGGAGGGTACATAAATCTCCTAAGGGTAAAAGAGGTATACTCAGAACGGTGTCAGTTACAGACTTTGCTTTACTTTATTTTCGTTTTTCACCTTCACCTCATAAAAGACGGACGCATCAGTCAAAACCATCATATATTCGAGACCGGCATTCCAAACACGCTCATAAACTGTTGTTTTCCTCACCTCTCTACACCTCGTTCTTACCTGTCGAAGTGATATCCGCTGCCAGCAGAGGGCCGAGCAACAATGCAATCAGGTACAGCGACAAAAGACGAGTCATACGTCGCCACATATGTTCGAAATTTACTTGAGTACTCGTGCTGACTCGACGACAGCAAGTTCTTGAACACTAGAGAAGTCGGTACTTGAAGCTCAACGATCACCCTTAAAAATACCAGGTTAAGGCGGCTGCCGATTCAAGAGCTGCCCGTGGTGCTTTTATCTACGTCATCGAATGAGTCAATTAGGTTCAGCGCGTAGTCGCATCAGTAGTTAAAAAGCGTACGGACAAGTTTTTGCACTGGTCTAGAAGACGGG